ATAAGAAAACCCAGAAGCCTCTGAGGAACAGAGTGATAAATCTGATTATATAAAAATTTTAAATTTCTACAGAGAAAAAAATGGGTAACAGATTTAAACTGGTGCTTTATAAAGTAGCATTTTTTTCAAAAGGCTATTAAGATGTAATCTCACTCTGAAATCAAAGAAACACAATTTAACAGACCAGGGACTGTACTCTTATCAGATCTGGGACTGAGGCTCTCTGCCCTGGTGGCTGCCTGGGGACCAGCGCTGCATGGCCTCTGTGGGCGGCTCCCCAGTGACTCCCACTGAGAGCTCACCTGCCACCCAGCGGCTTTTGATCTGGGTGTGATCCGACAATCTTACTGCCCTGTGGTTTGAGCAAAGGCTTCTCTACAAAAGACTTCCCACTTGGAACAGCAAACACCTGGAACCAACAGAAGGCCACCAACCCAGGCTGGCCAGTCAACTCGCTTAGACTTGTGAGAGACGGCTGCCAAAGAACAAGGTGATGCCCACGCGTCCTTAGCAACACCCCAGATGCGTGGGTAAGTGGGAAAAGGCGCAAACGGAAACCTCGTGGAGAACACGTGTATCATGTACACGATGTGATTCCACTTGCGTTTAAAAAAGAGAGAGAGACACGTACGGGCGCTGACGTGAGGCTATTTCTGGAAAGAGGCGGAGTAGCTGGATGTGGTGGCTGCCTCTGGCACTGCTTCAAAACTGCTTCCTGTGGGTTTTACTATAAAACGCAATGAGGCTCTCAGAGATGCGCGTTCCAACCTGCGTGCGGGTGAACCAACCGCCCTAACACCGACGCTCTGCAGCCCCCACCCAGGTCCCACCTCCTACGCACGTGCCCGTCTTTGACTTCGCGCAAATGAGACCGGACGGGATTTATGTTTCTCGCTTCCTCGCTGGGCGTTGTACGCGGCCGGCTGCTTGTGAACGCAGAGCCGCTTGTTCACGCTCAGCGTCCAGCCCTCATTCTATCGGCCCACTGCCGCGGGGCACGCGGTGTTCCCGGCCTGGGGCTACCGCGGCCGCGCCTGCGCAGGTGTCTGGTAGGCAGAGTGCGTGCCGGCAGGGCGAGGGCATCTGCCGAGCCACACGTCTGCGATCCTCAACTCCGACCGAGCCACACTCCCCGGCGGTTTTGCCAGATTCTCCTGCCGGAGCATCCTGCGCGTCCCTGTCCCAGCCCTCCCACGGCGCACCTTCCCGCGTTCACGGCCCCTGCCCGCTCCTGGAAGGCGCGGGCTGCGTCTCTGGCCCACCCTACTCCGGCTGCCGGCCTTGGCTCCCTGGCGTCCAGGAACCGCACCTACATCGCGGACACACGTCTTCATCGTTCGTAGGCCGCCAGGACCTTCCCCCTCTGAGGCCGGCCCGCAGAAATCAATGCACAGAAATGCTTTACTTTAATGTAACAACGTATGGATCTTCTCTTTTTTGGTGAGCACTTTCCACAGCCGGTTTGAGGAATGACTCTTCGCAGCAAGGTCGCGAGGCGTCTTCCAGCAGCTCTCGGGCTGGTTCTCACGGCAGGTCTTTCGCCCGCTGAGCCGCGCTTGCCTGAGCCGGGGTCTCCCCGCTGTCCCGGCCCGGCCGCTTCTCCTCGGTCAGGACCAGCCGCTCCGAGTCCCTCTCTGGGCTCAGTTCCGTCCTAACCTGGAAACGTGAGTCCGAAAAAACTGACCTGCAGGATTCTATGGCACAGGCCCCGAACTAGGCAGATCTGCTTCTGAAACCAGATGTTTCAATGAAAACAGCCCAGTTCTGGGACAGTGTCAACGCCGAATCTCAACAAATCCAGCCCAGTTTCCTCAGCATCGTAGCTCTACTTTTCTGGAAGTGACTGGGACTTCCCGAGCAGCAGCAGATGCCGGTCTGTGCGGAAGCCACCTGTCTTGCCACAAAGGGCCACGGCAGCCGAAAGGAGGCCACGAGGGTCCTGGCCCACCGGAGTCAGCAGCAGCTCCGACGTCCAGGGTGACACTGAGCGAAGTGTGATCTGCAGACAGAACCACGGCCAGCGAGGCGCCTCCACGGGCTTTGGAGGTCCCCGCCACGTGGGCACGACAGCAAGAAGGCCGCCTCGGGGCACAGAGTTTGTTGCACAATCAGGCGTTGACCTGTCCACAGTCCCCTGCGTCCCTGGGTGGACCCTCGCGACGTCTCCCTGGGGCCGCTGCCACCCAGTGGCGAGAGCGAGCGGCTGCCCAGGCCCTGCGCAGGCCCAGGGTGACGGCCCAGGGCGGCCTGGCCCATGAGGTGAGAAAATGAGGAAAGGCAGGGCAGGTCGGGGTGTATGTTTTAAAGCTCCCTAGGTGGCTCGATTAGAGCACAGGGGACCTGTGGCTCCACTCGGCCACCCCCAGCCCACGCCCTGCTTGAGTACCCGGACCGTGTCCCTGCCGCTCCACTGGCCCCCCCCAACCGCGGGCGCCACTGCGCCGTGCAGGTCAACCAGCAGCTTCCCGAGCGGGAGGCTCCCGTGTGAGGACGGGCAGTTCTGCCGGCACACGCGAGCCCCTCCCCGCCTCGGTGCACCGGGTCCAAACCAGATTCTCTCCTGGGCTTTTTCCGGGGTCACACGCAGCAGCCTCCTCAACCCCAACCCCCAGCTTCCCCAGGGTCTGAGCCAAGGTGTGCGGGTGAGGGGCAGGCGGCCTCGGCAAGGACAGCGCGATGCCCACACCACGCACGGAGCACGGCACCCGCTGCCTGGAGGGCTGGGCCCGGTGACAGGGCCGGCACTCACCGAGCAGAGGTGTTTTTCAAAAGCACAGGCGCAATGATGGAGGCCGACCCTTGGACGGACAGACAGGAAACGTTCAACCCCCTGGTTTCTTCGTAGCCCCAAAACCATCCTCTGCGAAACAAACCCATGGTGCTCGTATTAGTCTGTTTTGTTTTTACACGGGTAACAAAATCTACATGCACACACAAAGTGGCTCAACCTTGATAAAACATAGCTGCTTCGTTTAGGAAAAACTTACTGATTGCATAACAGATCATGACACTCTCGTGAGAATTTTAAAAGAAAACCATGCATCTCGATTTGATGTGACTGATGGGCCACTGACGCCTTCCTCGTGACTCTGGACGGTCCCACCCACGGGGGAGGGCAGGAGTGGTGGAGAGGGACCCGCACAGAAACCAGGCTTCCCCTGCAGTGCCGGAGTCTGGCGGCAACTGTCAGGTCACACAACTGTGCTCATGCCGTCCGCTGCTCGTGTTTCAGAAACCAGCTATCTCGGCACTTCGCTTGCAGATGTGGTAAGTGACAGCTCCTCCACGGGGGTCTCCTGACATCAGAGCCCCCAGTGGCAATTTATGTTCGGGGCCAAGACTGCTGTTCCCTCAGCCAAGGTCAAGTGTGTTGAAAGAAGCAGGGAAGCAACTATGGGATCTCGCGTAGGTGTTTTTAAAATGCCCTGAGGTCCCTCGTCCATAAAGGGGTGAGGCGCCTGCTCACAGGTGCTGAGGCCGCAGCACAGAGACCCGCGGTCGGGGCGGCCATGAGCAGTGCCTGACAGGGAATCCTCAGGACCCCGCGAGATGACGGGAACGCGGTGACATGACCCTGGGGGCGCCCTCCCGGCGCTACCTGTAGTACTCGTGCTTGTCCTGGGAGTACAGGAGCTGATCGATGCACGGCCGCTCGTCGACCTTCTCCTCCCAGCTGCCCTCCTTCCACCCCTCTGCGTAGCTCTGCAGGACGTAGACCTGGTCGATGAAGGGCCCTCCGGACTCTGAAAACGACAAGGAGAGCTGGGCAGTGCAACAGGAGCCAAGGCGCGCTGACGGCATCGCCACGTAGCCACCGGTACAGGTGACCTGTCAATTTACTTAATGCCACCTCATTCCCCAAAGGGACCGGAGGAAGTTCTTGAAAGCAGAGGAAGGACAGAGGTCACCGCACAGCTCCTCCAGCCCTGCCCCTCTGCCCCCATGTCCCTCCAACACCGGCGCTTCCTCCCAGGCCCTGTGCAGGCTGCCCCTGCCTGGACCGTCCCCTCCGGGCTGGCTGTGACCACCCCCTTTGATTTCTGTCCTCGAGCTCTTCACCATCCTGACTCCCGACTTTTCACTTGTTACTTTTGCTGTTTCTACCCCCCCGCCCCAACCCCGGGGCAGGGGCTCCAGGAGAGCCGGAGTCTGTGCGCCCTGCACCCACTGCTCCCCCACCTCAGGAGGGCGCCAGCTGCCACACCCCAGGGGTCAGTAAAGATCTGCCCAAGGTGGCATGACACGGCCAGTCACGAGAGGCTGCAGCAAGTGAAACTCTGGTCTTTCTCACACTCACTCATGACTGGGGACTCACGGCCATGTGGCCGGTGGTTGAAGCCAGAGCCACGGGGGCGAGGGAGTGGAGACCCTGTACGCCAGGGGCCCTGCGAGCCACATCACAAGCGTCTTTGTGTGCTCTCTCCTGGCAGCCGTCCGAGGACAGGCACCCCATTCCTTCCCCCCCGTAGGTGAGGAAACGGCTCAGCGAGTCCCACGCTAGTCGATGGCAGGGAGACGTCAAAACCACTGCACCCACCTCAGAGGCTCGTGACATAGGGCACTGTCCTCCCTGTGCTGCTCCTGTCCTGCCCCAGCCTGAGGGACAGAGGCTTGGACAACAGCAGGGAAGAGCCCCCTGCCAGTCCCAGGCACGGAGCAGCCTCAGAGGCCTACAGCCAGGCCGGTTTCTCAGGTTCCCGTGACGGAACGTGAAGTTCAGACCAGAGGCCGGCTGTCAGTCAGACTCAAGAGAGAACTGCAGCTCTCGTTTCCCAGGACTCACAGGTCAATCTGCAAGTCTCGTCAGGGAAGGACGTGCTCTGAGATGCTTTCTCTGCGTCTTCAGTGCGAATGAGGATGGCGGATGGCCCATCCCTGGTTCTGCGCCCCTCCACAAGAGTGACTCAGAAAACATTTCAAAGTGACAAGACCTAAGGTGTAACAAGAACCCAGAGAAACCACCACGCGGGAGCCACAGCCCTCAGCAGGGAGCGGGGGTGTCTGGCCCCGAGGGCGCTGTAAGGACTCGTTACATGCTACGGAGCAGCAGCCGGAGCCCAGACTCACTCGTTCTCCTCCACGGCCTCTCCGGTGCAGTGGAAAAGTGTCACTTACTTGTGAATTTATAGCTTCCAAAGAAAAGCAACAGAAAGCTCTGAATACCTTTATTCTAAGCAAAGCTTTAATTCCTCTTAAAAAAAATGAAAACAGAAAGATCAAGCAGCATGAAGTCAAACAAGAGGTGTCTTCACAGAAGTCTCCACTGCCCACAGCGTGTCTTCCCTCACGTAAGGCGGCCTTTTGGCACAGGGAGCCGAGTCCTGCTAGGACAGGAACCAGGCCTGGCCGCGTATTTAGGGTGGCTCTAGCTGCACTCTGCCTACCTGTCAGGCTGCCACGGTTTTCAGAGGTGAGAGGCACAAGATCTATTTCCCCAGGAACACCGTGGAAAGATCCCTGGTAGTCTGGGACAGGGAACTGGGCTGCTATGCAGAGCAGGTGCTACGACAGGCCTGAGGTGGGGATGCCAGGTGGGTCCAGGATGCTGGCAGATGGGCTGGGTGCAGTCTCAAGCCCTGCCTGATGTCTACGTCAGAAATGAGGCCTGGTGCAGAGGCTCACGCCTGTAATCTCAGCGCTTTGGGAGGCCAAGGCAGGAGGATCACTTGAGGCCAGAAGTTTAAGACCAGCCTGAGCAACAGAGCAAGACCCCATCTCTATAAAACATAGAAAAATTAGCCGGGTATGGTGGTGCACACCTGTAGTCCCAGCTACCTGGGAGGCTGAGGTGGGAGGATTGATTGAACTCAGGAGTTTGAGGCTGCAGTGAGCTATGATGATGCCACTGCACTCCAGCCTGGGTGACAGAGTGAGACCCTGTCTCTTTAAAAAAAAAAAAAAAAAGAAAGAAAGAAGGAAACAACTGCCTGGCCCCAGTTAAACCACCACCACCGCCCCGCAGCCTGGCGCTGGCGCTCTGCCTCACCTGCAATGAACTGCTCATACTCAATGACGGGGATGTTTTTATTGAGACTCGGAAGATCAAAAAACTCGGACCAGGGAATCCGGACCTGATGGATGTCGGGACTCTGCCAGTGATAGAGGCGCCCCCACGGGGGCAGGACCAGCACCCATTCCTCCGTCTTTAGGAGAGTCTTCAGGAGAGAGGCAACACGGATGTAGACGTCCCTGCGGAGGTTGAAGCCTTCCGGGGGGTTGACGTCATACAGAAGATACCTGAGCAGGGAGGAGCAGGACACCGTTCTTGAGCGCCGGGGCCTCTGCGCAGAAAACCCGATTCACTTACGAGTCTCGGAGCATTGCTGACTCTAGACGCTTACTGTCGTTCCTAGTTTGTAAAGCACAGGCGGTTGCCACCTGTTTCTAAGCGACCCGTCACTCAGTGCCCTTGAGTAGCAGATGTCTTAACATCTTTGAACAACGAGCAATAATTCAAAACTAAGACCAGAGGAATCTCAGCAACTAGAACCTGAGAATCAGTACTCTCGTGGTTCTCAAAGTGGTTTGGTATAATGACCCCTTACACTAAACGATTATTAAAGACCCCAAAGGGCTGTTGTTTGTGTGAGTTATATCTACTGATAATTTCTGTAAGTTCAAACTAGAAGTACTCGTTAATTCACTTAAAAATAAGCTTTTTACATGTTAACAAAATAATATTTTTAAATAAAAAATAAATATTTTGTCAAAACGAAACTAGTTAATGAGAAGAACGGCAATGTTTTTAATTTCTGCGAATCTCTCTTGGGTCTACAGTAGCTGGATTCTCAATTCTGTTTCTGCATTCGATCTGCTCACTATCACAGATCAGGTGGCCTCTGGAAAAACTCCACGGTGCACTCATGAGAGAAGTGAAAAACACAGACGATGTCCTGGTGTTACTATCAGAATGGCTCTGAAACCTCAGGGATGCCTGGGCACATTTTAAGAACCGCTGCCTTATCCAAAGCAAGACTCCTGTCTGTAAAATACCCAAGGAGGTCACCCAGCTCCTATGAGAACCTTTTCCTGCTGTTCTCACCTGCCCTTCTCTGTGTTAGCTTCTTCCACAGACTTCCATCACTACACGTGAAACTGTGTCGTCCTGGTTTGCACCTCCAAACCCTCCAGAGACTGAGAACCCCGCAGGACGGGGCCCACAAACCACCTTTACACCCCGGCACCAGCACAGGGCCTGTTTTGTACCAAGCCCCCCATAACTGCTGAACATCAGCAAAACCTCTTACCCCAGAGACTTATCTAAAGCAGTGGTCCCCAACCTTTTTGGCACCAGGGACCGTTTTCATGGAAGACAATTTTTGCATGGACGGAGTAGGGGTGGTGGGGGGGTGGTGGTGGTGGTGATGGTTTCGGGATGATTCAAGCGCATTATGTTCATTGCGCGCTTTATTTTTATCATTGTCACACTGTAACATATAATGAACTAACCATACAACTCACCATAGGTTGGGGACCTCTGATCTAAGGAACATCCAACATCTGGATGGAGACTGAATGGTTCCGTGCAGACACACAAGAACCATCCCAATCAAACATTTGATTCCAGAACTCCTCAAACCCAGGCCTGCATCGTCCGACAGGGAGTCTGGGGGTCGGCCCTCAGGCTGTGCCCTCCGCGGATCCCCGCCCACTGACCCGCAGCCCGGCCCACTGAGTCCTACCTAGTCCCCGCCCACTGACCCCGGGCCTGGCCCACTGAGCCCTACCCAGTCCCCGCCCACTGACCCCCGGCCTGGCCCACTGAGCCCTACCCAGTCCCCGCCCACTGACCCCCGGCC